TGTTTTATGACTTTTCTCTAAAAATTACCAAAAAAGGAAATTTTGAAAAAAAAGATGGATCTACGGGAAAGAGTTTTGAATGCCTCTGACCATATACAAAAAAGATGTTTGCAAGAAATTTTATACTTTTTTGCTAATAAAGTCATATACTTTTCTAAAAACAACTTAAAGCTTGTCTTCATGTATCTTTTTTATCTTTTTTTACTTGTTTATAAACTCTTTTGAATAAAAACTTGGGCCTCTAGTGACCTGAAAAGACTTAAGTATACACTTCCTCTACTAAAAGCAAGAAGATTTTAGGAAATAAAAAAATTGATAAGTGATGTATCACCTTATAGAGTTAGAAGTAACAAGAAATAAAAATTTTATTAGTAGGAGAAGGCTTATTATTTACCTTCTCATATATTGTCTTGTACCTTCTTAAAGTATTTATTGTTTTTCACAGTTTTCTTGAAAGATTTTATCTACCGCAGTTTGACCCTGAATTTTTAATATACAATATCACCTGGTATCTAATTGATTAACACAAAATACATTAGTAACTAAATGTAAATAAGCCTTTACTAATCATCTTATATATTTTGATAACATCATTGATAATTGAAAGATTTGATTGGTATATTATATCTGCTTCACTTTTTTAATTAGATTAACCTACAGATCAAGTTTTATGAGATCAATAAGATATGAGCAACAAGTCTTCAGATAGTAAAAATATGCTATTTGTTCAAACTGAGATCTTTCTCTCCTATTATCCCAATCAGGCAAAGTTCAAGATCAAGGTCTCCTTTTTATTCCAGTTAGACAATAAGATCAAATAGTCTCTAGTTCATATTAAGCTCCAATTCCTTGATTATAGTTGAAAATACATTTTCCCAAAAGTTGTTGAAAGATATTGCAATTTATGAGAATCTTTATTACTTTCAAGACCTTCCTACTATTACAAGACAAAAGAATTATTGAGAAATCTGGCCTTTTGGGTAATAGGAAATATATATCAATAAAATTTCTTTAATTAAGCATAGCTACTAGAAGATATCATATTGAAACAATATGACTCAGTTTCTACTAGATTACATAAGAACCTGGGATTCATCATAAGTTGTCTCTTTATTATAGATGAATAAAAAATCATTGTTCAAAAAAGGTTGAAAAAAAGTGTGTCCTGGAAATAAAGGTCTTCTCAAATAGTATATAAAAAAGAAATCAAGATCAAAAATAAATAAGTTTCTCAGATAGTTAGGAAAAGAAAGAATATCCCAATTGAGTATTTTTATTAAGAAGAGATTTTGAAAAGCAGGTTTTTGGAGGAAGCTGAAAATATTTTTTTTCAAATTTACTTTTTTATTTTTTTGTTGTCTATTTAGATATTTTTAGATTTCCACTTCTTTTTTTTAACCTATCCTTTTATAGTTTCCTATATTCCAATGACTTGATTAGACATATGGTAGTGACAATCTGTTGACAATGATACAGTGGACTAGTAGGGTTTTTATCCAAAGATACTGTGAAGCAAAATATTGTTCTTAAGACTGAACTTAAAAATTTTTATACTTATGATAAGTTAATTAGATTAGAATAATAATTTAACTATAGTATATATTATACTGCTCAAATGAAAATGTACTTATATTTTCAATTGATTAATAAACTAATGATCTAGTCTAGCTATGTATACTTAAAAAAAAAATAATTTCATACAAAATGATTTCAAAAAGATATTAGAAATTATACAATATGATTAAAAGATAATATAAGAATATGTGATCTATCATAAGTCATGGTTATGACATAAGTAAATACAAAATTAATATTGAAAGAAAGGAAGTACCATAAATCACTGCATACAATACCCTGGGTATTCTACTAGAAGAGGGATAGTATAAATGGTGAGATATTTAGTGTTTTATTATCATCTGACGTATTTCTCACTTGCCCATTTATATTGCAATTTTATTGGCTCTAGCTTAATATACTTGGGTAGTAATTATTTATTGAATGACTATTTTCTTAAATACTATCAGGTATTATTTAAGGGGGATATTACTTTAAGGGGGGGTATTGTATGCAGTGGTTTATGGTAATAAGCAAGATATTAAATCCAAGTAAGTGATACTTATCTTAAATGGTTATAAGAAAATAATCAAGATTATAAATAAATAAATTCATCAAATAGTTAGAAAGAAGAAAAATATTTCAGAAAGGTTAGTTTCTAATAAGAAGGGGTTTTTAGTAGAGATCCTTTGAAAAACATGAAACACTTTTATTTTTATTTTTTCTTTTTTTCTTTATGAATACACATTTGTGTATTTTTAAATATTCTTCTTCCTTTTATTTTTTCTTTCTTCTATTGTAGTTTCTTAAAATTAATTTCTTGAAAAATAATAGGTAGCAATAACCTGCTGGTAATAATGGATAAGTTAGGAAGGTATTTATCCAAAACTTATTTCAGAGCAAAATATTGTTCCCAAGGTTGCACTTAAAGGCTTAAGCTTATTTGAGAATTGAAAGCTGTTGATGAGTAAGTCAGCATAAGATTTAGTTTAACCATAATATAATTGCCCAATGTATCTCTCAGTTTTCTTAAAAATTAATAAACACACTATGCTGACCTGACCACGGGTATTAAAAAAAAAAATAATAATAATAATTTCATGCAAATAAAAAATAATATATAGTAAATTATTAATTTGATTAGACTTTAAAAATATATTTTAATTAACTATTTTATTCATTCAACCTATAGTATCTTGCAGGTACAAAAGGCATTTTTACGACTTTTGCATCTTGCATGCGATTGCGAACTTTAACCCGCAAAGAGGTTCCAACTTTGCTACATTCAGTTTTCACATAACCCATTGCAATGTTTTTTTGTAAAGTTGGTGATGGACCTCCACTTGTCACTTTGCCTATTTTATTTTTTTCAATAAAATAATTAGTTCATAAGAGAAAACAAATATTTTTATCTGTTTAAGTTTTTCTTACCAACTAACTCTCCATCAGTATTGTAAATCTCAGTATTTCCTTGAGAAGTAATTTACATATATTATTATTATAAATTAATAAAAGTATTTCACTAGTCGATAAAAATTTATAAATACTAACCTCTAGCTGGTGCGCCTTCCACAATAAGCCCAATACGACGGCGTAATATCGTTGATTTGTCGTTAAGTTGCCTCAAAATTCGCTCAGCTCCTAAAAAATCACCTTCTTTTCTTCGACGTTTACCTAAAACATCGATTAATTAAATATATTTTAAAAGTAGATGCTGATAATTTACAATACCTATGGTCCAAGATAATCCGGCCTCTACTGGAGTTATTGATTCATCTAGATCATGTCCGTACAAGCAAAGACCAGCTTCTAAGCGTAAACTATCACGAGCTCCAAGACCAGCGAATTGAACACTCGGATAACCCAGTAAAAGTTTTGCAAAGCGGTTGGCGGCTAGATGAGATACTGCAATCTATTTAAAAAATATTAAGCTTGGAATACATAATTATAAAATAAAGGAGAACTTAATGTCACCTCAAATCCATCTTCTCCAGTATATCCTGATCGTGTAATGTGAAGTTCAATTTTTTTAATGTTCATAAATCTGGACGTCATAAATTTGAAATCTGTTAGGTCTCTGTCACTTAGTCTTTTAATAATTTCCGCAGCTTTTGGACCTATTATAATAAATAAAAAATTATAACACCCATCCCGAAAAAATCATGAACAATCAAATAATAAACCTGAAACCTTGTAAAGCCAATAAAGCATAATCTTTAACGACCTCCATGTGAACAAGCCATCCTTGCCTCTGAACTTTATCTAATTCTCTACGTATATGAGCCAAGTCCTTATCTGCACATCCTGCATTGGTCACGATATGAAGATGATCAGCATGTTTGCTTATAATAGTATCATCAATAATACCGCCGTGCTCGTTAGTAAGCAGTGATAATGTTGAAGTGCCGTATAACATTTCTTCTAAATCTGATACCACCAGTTTCTCAAAAAATTTTACACGATCTTTCCCTAGGATTCTAAATGAGGTTGCAATTAATTGAGGTGCAATTTGAGAGTTTAAAGATAGATCCGATTATTACTTTAATTGCTGCATGTGGGACACATCGAATAGAGATGCACTTTCCCTTGTGTGTAAATGCTCTACCAAAATTCCAGAAGTCGCAAAATGCACCGGCATAGACCATCCAGCAAAAGGAACCTTCGAATTTAAATTTGAAAATCATTATATTCTGGGCATCCTACAATAAATTTAGTCAAATAAGTATCACTATTTTACCATCCTTCCTCCTTTTTGAACGATAAGATCGTGCAAAGGCGTTTTTTTCAGCAGCTTAGTTTAGAAACAAACGTAAAATAAAAAATTTAGTAAATTCCCGAGATAATTTTATATTACTTATCAATTCTCGAAAAGAATTACTTTAAAAAAATCATTTCAACTTTTCCACCTGTTCCTCGGTAACATATCCGCGTCTAATAATTGATGAAAGTCTATACAGCCTCTCAGAAAAAACAACGGATGACTTCTTACAAAAAGCATACATTTTGAACGAGATTTCGTATCAAATGATCAACGACATGAGATTTATGCAAAACCTTATTTTATAATGACAATCGATAATCACAATTCCGGATGATCTTTTTATATAACTTTTTCTCTTGAAATTAAACCACTCAACATCAGAAAACAAAAACAACAACAATAAATTCTTTTCTTTATTCTTTTCATCAAATTTATTAAAAGATTTAAAATATAAAATATTTTTAACCCTCTGTCAGGCTAGTTATATGTACTTATTAAACATATTGTATATTAATTACAGTATCACTAAAGCTAGATCACTAACTAAATCACTCTTCTTAGTTTGTCTACAAACTCTAAGTGCAACTTTGAAAGTGATTTGTCACTCCATTCATGGTATGGATTAATAATCTTCTACTATTAATATTATTGCCTATGGTTTATCATTACAAATCATTAATAACAATTCTAATTGAGTTTAAAATTCAATCATTTCATTTTATTTTTGACCCCTGCCATTATAATCTTGGTGAGGCCTTCACCTGGATATTCTTCTTTTGTAGTTTCTTATTTCTTCTTTGTATTTCATACTTTTTTTATTATAGAGAATTTTATAGAACTTTTTATTTTATTTTTTTAAGAGTTTTCTTGAATCTTTTTTTATATTATTATGTTTTTATATCTTTTATTTTATATTTCTTTCCTAAAGTAATTTAGGACCTTATTTTGATTACAAAGTATTTATTTTTTAATTATAGTTCCTATTCTTCTTTCTTTACAATTCAATTTCTCTACTTTTATGAGTAAATCTTTTTTAATTGGTTTTATAAAAAAATTAATTATATCATAACTTTCTTTAAATTTCCTTCTTATATATTTCATTGTCCTATTTTCTATTTTCTTTAATTTTTCTTTATTATTTGTCAACATATTGTTGCAGTCTCTTTGGATTTTCTCTTTTTATTTCTTTTTTGCTTTATAAAATTCTTGCTATATTATATTTATCCTTTTTATCCAAGTTTTTTTAACTTTATTTTTTTTTATTTATTTTTTTTTTAATCCGTAATCATGCCGCAATGGCGTGTCTTTATTAAGATATTGAGAAATACCTAAATAATTTACAGACTTTCACATAATGACTAACTCGTCGTTGTACATTATTAGTTAAAGGACTATACTATTTAAAAAATATGAGGAGTCCACTAAGCTAGTTTGAACTAAACAAAATTAAGTCTAAACTAGGTACTCTAAGTCAGAT